TTTAATATTAACATTTGCTATCAAAACTTGCTTGTAATAGTAATAAAAGACACAATTTTCACCATGTGCGTGAATATTTCTAATCTAAAACGAAATAGCCGAAATTTGTCGCAAAATGATTGTTTTGCGGATTTACATTAACGAATTATATAAATACCGGTCCCTATATTAATTTTAATTAAAAAATCGAACCGGTATAATCAAGAAGGGAAGCATGATTCTGATATAATCTCAGACATTTGATAAACACGAAAACCTCATCTAATGTGTGTCGGAGTTCCCTTATCATTCCATTCAAAAACTCAATCTTGGAATTGAGCATGTTTCCAGCGAATGATATGAGACGGAATCAAATTGAAAGCCTTTCCAACGTCCCACAATCCTCGGGGATATAGTCTAGACCCACTATTTATATATCCTTACTCAACTACTCAAATGATATAAAACGCTAGTAGCTTAACCGCACCCAAGTATTCGTTCTTAAGGCCCGTTTTGCCAGAAGCGTCTCGTGCGTCTGACGCTCAGCGTCTATCGCTGCCCACTGCTTTGCATTGTTTTAAGGCTAGTACTCACTAGGACACCCGGTCGCTTATCAACCGGCGACCTGGTTGACGAGCGACTAAGTTGATGATTGAACGTTTTATTGCTGGGTGGTACACACTAGGATACCTAGCACTTTCAACCGTAGAGATTTCAAGCTGGAAATCAATCAAAATTTGGTGGGGATAGACAATTTGTTTTGTTCTGGTTCACGCTTAAGCCTGTCAAAGTGTGAACCTAAATGACAACACCATGCCCCCGACGAAGAGGGAATAGCTGCCGAAGTTTTGATTATATTTCAAACTTATGAAGTAGAGAAGAAGAAAGAAATTGTTTAGAAGATTTTGGGTTAAAGGGTGGCCTTAACGTAGAAATAGTTACAGCCACATCGGCCCTCCTACGAGCTTTTCGACTTAAAAATCCTCAGGATTTTAAGAACTATTTACATATTTCAGATGACAGTTTCCGTCATACTAAGCAACCAGTGACACCCGTGACACCTCACATAGAAAAAAGGACGTCAGATTGAGATTTTAGCATGGTTTTGTTTCGTCAGTTCATTTTTCGTTGTACTGCGCATGCGCTAGCCGTCTTTAGTTGATCAACTTGGTCGCTGAAGCGTACACACTCTAGTTTTTTTGAGAAATCTGATTGCCCGGCGATAAAATGGTTGATCGGAAACCCCCAGGTTTTCGATACATGTCCGAAAACCAAAAAGTTGCCTGGCAACCTACAAATCGCCCTCAACCAAATTGACAGACACGTACACACACGGCGATATTTGTGCAATTTGGTCGCTCGTCAACCAGATCGCCGGTTGATAAGCGACCGGGTGTCCTAGTGAGTACTAGCCTTTAGGTTAAGTCTATTTTGCCAGAAGCGTCTATCGCTACAGCCGCCAGCGTCTGTGAGACGCAAGCGTCTGACGCGGACCACTGCTCCTGGAGCAGACGGAGACGCAGTCGCTAGCGATTATTACTGGAATAAGCACGTGTTTAGTTGTTGACATAAGGCTTAACTTTTGTTTCCTTAAATAAGTTGTGTTTTCAAGTTTAGTGACATGTCAAATGTGTGGATTCAAAGTGGGGATTCAATAGTGAAGAAGATGAAAAACCGATTGAAGCCATTTCAGCACACGACTGTTAAGTCAATTGTTAATTGATTTTCAATTAACAATTTAAAATATCCCTCTTCAGGCCTCTTTAAAAACATAGTACGCACTTCTTCCCTAGGTTTGCACAACATTTCTAATATCTCATCATCGTCTAATTCCTCAGCTAACCAATACTTTTTACTATTTGCTTTTTACAGGTCATTTTCAGAAACACTCCTTTTGCCACCAAAGTAAACCACTTACTGATCAAATAATCGCAAGGAACAAACGCTTCTGGCAAAATAGGCCCGAGCGATAGACGCTGAGCGATTATCGCTCTAGCGATCATCGCTGAGCGTCGGACGCACCAGACGCTTCTGGCAAAACGGGCCTTTATGTGTAAACAATATTTACTCCTTTTGAGTAATTTCTTAGTAATTTTAAGATACATTTCTTGGCTGGGCATTTTTTTAAATTGTTAAACCAATTTTAGAAACATTTTACTAAATGCAACAATTGTATTTGCAGACTATTGAGTGCTTGGAAATATTACCGATTACCCTTTTGGAAATATTAGACTAGAAGTTGTTAAACAAATTTAGGGTAATAGTTTAGTAACATTTACAGCAAGCCTTTTTGAACTATGCTCTCTGATAAGATATCCCAATCAATGAGTGCAAAATTGTAAAATTATCTTTAAATGTTTCTGTGATACCAAAATGATAAGGGATTAAGATTTTACAATAAGATGGGTATAATTGCACAATCCAAAGTTGATGATTATAGTCTGTTAAAGATGGTTATTAAACTTGATAAACAAATTCGGAACAAAAGAGATCCTTGGATCTAAAAATGCATAATTATTTAGTGATTCATAATATTCGTACATATCGTATATTTCATTGCCATACCATTATGTTTGGTATCCTTACTTAGTTCAAAGAATGCAAGAAAGGAAGTTTTTAGCACATTGCCCAGTGTCATCTCGATAACTGACGATGTATTGCCCTTCAACACGTGACAAGTCCTCAACAATACATGTTTTATCCTGTTATCGACTGCCAATCATCTTGTAGCCATGCAATATTTCCATACTAAACGGTTACACTTTCACTAAACAAGCTACCGCCTTACCAAAATCAATACTCGTGCAACAAACAAATCAATAATGCTACAATGTATTAAAAATCAACTTTCCTTGTGTTTGAATTAAGCTATGTATTTTTGTGTATATTAGATAATGATTTCCAATATACGGGGTGAAACGATGTTAGTGTTCAAATATTTGTGTCAACCTACTAAGTATTGGGGACAAAATGGCACAAATTTAGGTTTCCATACTCTCACAGATAGGGAATAACAAACAAATTATTTTTTTTATATATTTGTATTTGCTTATATAAAATGTCCATAACTGCACTAAACATTGATTTTATTTCAATCTAATTGTCATTTTCAGAATCCTCGTTAGATTTTCAATAGTAATTAAAGTAACCACATTTTACCCTCAAATAATGAAAAATGTGCCATCTCCATCAACGCCCATTATGCATGCCGGATATTAAACTATTAAAGCTTGAATCATACTTTACATGATGAGAGAGAGGTCTACTTGCAATATTCAAAATGTCATTACAATACTTAATATTGTGAGCATACAAAAGAAGGTCACTTATTGTACCAGAAGGTCAAAAATAATCATTATTTCCACAATACTGCTAGATTTGTAGAGAGTTTACATTCAATCAAATATTCTTAAGCACCTGTATCATCTTTGAAGATTATACCACATAACACATAGACGTATATAAAGTAAACTTGTCCAAAATACATTAAGGAATCACGTATCCTCAAGACTGGAAGGGAAACGGCTTAAGACTCCTTAACCAAAACAAAAACGGGTTAAGATTAAAAAGATGTCAACGCCCTAGTTAAAGCCCTTAACCAGTTTAACACCGAGACAGCAAACTCCAATTACCTTGATTAGTGTGCAGTTCACCGGAAATGATAATTTTGCTCAAACCTCGTCAGCGAAGTGGGTTTTCCCGCTGCTCAAAGTAATCTGCGGGGTTATTGGGTTTTAAAAATTAAATAGCCGTCATAACAGGGGTGAAAACCATCTTATTTTAACACCTTGCGTGGAAACGACTAACTTTGGGAAAGGGGTTAACCGTGGTCTTTGTCAAATTGATTTGAAAGGTACTAGAATTAAGAGCATTCAAACAATCTAGTTGTTTGAGTTTATCCATGTAGCAATCTTGGAAATTACGCTATATTGCTTTTCCATTTCGCAAATTAGTTTGAAATCGATTAATGGTTTTCTGTGTTGTTTCCTCGTATGAATAATTAAACTCGCTATAGTTCACTCTGCAAATAGTTAGCTGTACAAACAAATGAAATCTCACTCTTTGGAAACCACCTTTATCAAACAAAGGTGAAAATGACTTTGATTGACGAAGATTACTTTAACATGTAATTAAATTAGTATTTCTTTATTTGCTTTTAACATTGAAAACATGCATTGCAATAGTCAATGTTAATAAGTAACTTATTTTACAAAGCAAACCATGCAAAAATACAGATTTGTGTACAAAAACCTACATGTGAAACATTCTGATTTTGTAACGCAGGTTACAAGAAACAATTAAGGTTTAGCGGTTTATTAAGCGATGTAAATAAGATGGCTATTCGTCACCGACGTCCAATGTATAGATGAATTGCCACCGAACATTTTTCATACTACTAAACAATTACTTTCATAGTGTATATTTTACCAAATTGTGATAACTATTTTTGTTTGAAAAGTTTTTAACCAAACCCCTTTTTTCACATAGGCTACATTTAAAAGGATATTTATTACGTAAATGTGTATTGCTTCCAATCTCTACCTCTCTTTATGTTCAAGCAAACCATTAATATTAGAAATATAGATAGATTTCTAATGGTTGATATTTTTCTAAGTTTACTGTAAAATGTTTTACTATTTTTTTTTAAACCCACTTTCAATCCAAAATACGTGCGAATTGTGATTATGAAAAATCAAAGATTAAAAAAAAAAACTATTGAACATTTTTTAATAAAACCCTTCTACTTATTATAGTTTGTGACAACTAAAAAGCCAAATTGATTATTATATTGTACCGAATGACCAAACGCAAAAATATATATAGTATCTATACATCATTGTGAACCATTAAAACATATTTTTTAACACTTAAGCACATTATGTAATTATAGGTTATCAAAATTATTGCGCAATATAAGTTAATATTTTATATTTCCTTATTACTGTGTTATATTCAAACAAAGTACATAGTTAATTATCATTTTTAATAAGCTAATTAAGAAGAAGAAAACTGTATATTACCTGTGGGTGGAAACGACGTACTTCACATACACCAACCCGGGCCTAAACCTACTGCTGACTGAACACTGAAACAAGGGGGGTACAAACCCCCCCCCCCCACTAACTGACCCCTCCAATAACGCCCCCTAGCCCCCTGACCCACTCCTCCTAAACTTCCCATGTCACTGTTGTTTTATGAAACTCACTGAAATATTTCTCATCCAGTGCCCACTTTGTATGTTTTTGGCTTCAGCCTTTTTATAGATAATACATTGTTTGGTTTGTGTTTGCAAATAACCGCAAAGTGTTGTTAAATAGAATTCACACTACCGCTGAGTTTGTATTGCGCTAAATTCATCCACAGATTAATTGTTTTTGTCATTGCAATTTAGCATCAACAAGGTTTAAAAACGTACTGCACTCCCTTTGCAAAACTATAGAGAATAGGTTTTAGCGTGGGTGTCATCTAGGTATTTTTAATGAGGCTGGAGTTAAAATATTTACAATCACCTGATTCGTAAGCGTGAATTTAAAATTAGTTCATAGATTATTTCCGAATAATTGGGGGACAACAAAGATTAATTCTAAAGTGGGAAAACTACTTAAAGTTTCATTTTTCTTGTTTACTTTCTAGGCCTGAATTCAATTGATTGTATGCATTAGTAACTGTCTCCACAAAGTGAATAGTTTTGTTTTGAATACGATCATTTTAAATTTTCAAATTATGGAATTTGCATTTTTTCCGATATTACTCTATTCTATTGGATTTTAGACCGCTTTGTTTAGATGTTTCATTTGAAGGCGGAAATGAAGAAAATATGAAGAATATGCCAGTAACTCCAAAACGCTGTACAACATTTTAATCGACATCAAAACAATCCAACAGACACATTTTTTTCAAATTTCATCTTCATTAACACTTTTTAGTATATCAGTACAGACAGAGTTAGTTAACCCTTGTGTAAGGTTAGTCGCTGGCACTAGGTCAACGCCGCTAGGGGCTTGGGGTATGTCTGATTGATACAGTAACCATTATTTTGATTTCATTGTACGAGAAGTAATAGCAGTCTTCGGGGCGAACCTTTTGGTTTTCGCTGGAAATTCAAGTAGAAATATGTAGACAAATAGTAAAGTGGACGAATATCCAATCCGCTGCATGCATTAGTTAGGGACTCGTCAAACCAGATTAAATAATCAACAAACAGAGACGTTCCCCATAAGCTTGTCAAAAACCCTTATAATGGGGTAATCGGCAGGAGTATTACTCCATGGTATTCTATGGATAAACTCGCAAAAAATTGCAATTCATTTTGAGTACCTCTATGAATTAGCGCTATTATATAGTAATCAAATTGTATTTAAGTGTTTGCCAACTGTATTTTCGTGACACGTTGTTTGCTGATACAATCTTGTGACACACCCTGTTATTAAACTGTCACCTTTAACACACAAAATCAATTAACTCGTTCAAATTTAAATTTTAATTAATACTGCTGCCAGTACCTAGTTATACTAAGACTAAAAATTTACTTTAATTTTTTTAAATAATTTATATAAATTACATAATTAAAACGATCAAATGGTTTACATATTTAAAAATATTCTTTGCTTGTAGCTTGTAAATATAAAGCAATTTTGTACAATTAATAGCAAGTATCATTTTGAATTTTTTCCATACTCTTTGGTTTGCTTAAAATATCATACAAAAATCCATGGTTTTTTGGTGGATAGTTAAACTAGTTTAAAAATTACTTCTCCTATAGCCTATACTCTTATGTTATGCCAATGTTTGCTTGCACAAAGATCTTGAAAACGGCTTCGACGATTTCCTTCAAATGTTGTAGATAATTTATTTATTTGATTTATGCCTAAGAACGCGTTTCATGCAGTTAAAAGTGCCAATAAAAATCTAATTATGTAAAAAATTAAAGATTTTTAACATTGAGCCTTACTGGGTACTTTTTGGCATTGGAATCTATTTATCTATCTATATTAATTATAAATTCTAAAGCGGTTATTTTTTTTAATAAAAATTGTGAGAGTTGACAGTGAGTTTGACAACTCACGGGATGATGGGGGGGGTGGGCTCAAATTAAAGGTCTTGGTCCCAGGGGTCGGGAAAATTAGCAGATTATGTCCAAATCTACCAGAAAATGAGAAATAACGAAAAATATATTCCATTTAAAACGCATTGGGATGGAAAAACGTCTGTAGGACGTAAACTTAGGTGCAGCCCAAATAATGTCTAGATGAATTCTGCTTTTACTAATATTGATCTAAAAAATTGATTAACTTACACTTTTCAGAGCTGCTGTGTGACAGAGCATTTGATTCTTTGTTTGTTTTAATATAAGAATACTCTGTTTTACATTTGAGCTTTTTAGGGACTTTTGTCCCTTCATGCTTCATGCCACTAGTAACAACTAAAATCGTAAACATCAACAAAAGAATGGTAAACAAGATAGATAAATATAACAGCTGATTATAAACAACCCTAAACCAAAGAAGTTTTTTTTAATTTATGACTAGAGGCACGACCGCCTTTTTGTTAAAGGCGGCCGTGCTAGAGGACAGTGAGATTGAGATGCTATCCTTAGTATCAAAGGGAGTATGTTTTATCTATGGTTTTATCTATGGTTTTATGTTTTATTTATAAGTAGCACGTAATAGCACAGACAATAGACCATTATGGTCTTTTGGTCTAGTCTGAGGTAACAGTAAACCAGCGATGCCGGGCAACGGTCCTCCTGATACCACTGTAACATGGCTAATTTATTAGAAAACATATAGTTATTTAAGGATTACTTAAACATGTCAAGTGTGCTCTTGATAAGTGCTAGTAGGCCTACTACTATTATTTATATTAGTTTACTAAATACAAAATTGTTTGAATTTTCAACCCAATGCAACCATCTGTTTATAAACTATCGATGCTGCTTGTCCTCTCTGTTGTAAAAACAACTGAGTTTATCACCCTGTTAAGATTTAAAAAAACACATACTGACACACTTCTTTATAGTGTAAAAGTACTGTATTAACATATCCAAGTAAATCAGACAGGGTACCCACTTTTGTTACATATAAAAATGTTTTCCTCATTACAAAAGTTCTCTACAATGTTTTAATGTTTATCAAACTGGGTTTCACAGCTGACTTCAGTTTACATATATTATTTTGTTTACAAAATTATTGTTGCAGAAACTATGATAGTAATGAATTAAAATTTTCAGTGAAGAATTTAATTTGGTGAAATATTTTGTGAAGATTAAATGTTGATAAGGATGTGAGTGTGTAGTGAATAATTGTGACAGTTTTGTGTAAATTAATTTGGACTTTTTCATCGTTTGTATTATCGTATGTAATTTCAGAGTTGAATTTGAGGTTTAGCAGGTAAAGTATTCAAAGAAGCCTTACAGTGTATGTAGGCCTATAGTTAATTTTATAACAACATTAGGCCTGGAATGTTCAAGATTGCCTTGTAACATTCAGATCACCGATAAATATTGAAAAATGTGTTTACATTTGCTTATGACAATATAAACATATTGTAGCCTACTTAAAAACTTGCGAACATTAATATCAGTAAATTTTATAAGGTTTTAGGGTTTCGATTGTCTGTGGTTTTAGTGTAAACCGCGTCAGTAGGGTTAGCATAATTTTCAAGATTTGTAGTTTTGATCAAAACCTGTATCAAACATGTTTAGTTTTTTCTTAGTTTTTCTTTTCTTACTGTCAACGGTAGGCCCTACCTACACCTTAACTTTTTGTCACAAATACTACATTACTCATTATAATTTTAAGCTAAATACAAGTATACAATTTTAGTTTACAAAATAACATTTTTCATTTTTTGTTGCAGATATTCAAATTTTAAGAAAGAAAAGTTATTCCTGACAGAAAATGCATCGATCAGTTTCAAGATATCCAAAACAGTTCCTAAATTGTAAATACTTAAAAATGTATTCATTTATTTACCTAATTTCATTCCTTAATTTTAAGAAATGAAAACTTTGAATCCCATACAATGAATTATATAGGTAGCTTTTTACCTATTCAAAAAATATGAAATACAATACAGCATATTATACTGTATACGCATAAGGTAAAATCACATTGAATAGAAATTATTTAGAGAATTTTCAAAACTAAAGTTAAAAAAATAAATTTAATAGTTTGTGAGTTAAGTTGGTTTTATAGAGATTAATATTACTTCCTCCCCTATTTAATCTCTAACCATATCTCTAATCTCTAGCATATGGAGAAAGTATTGTTTTCATACACATTTTCAAGTTAGAGTTTGGGGTGTATGTATCTGTTTTGGTCCCCTTTATTAATAAAAAAAGTGGTTCTGAAGTGATTTTGTGTGTGTGAGTGTGTGTCTCTCTGTATGTGAAGGGGGTGTGTACAGAGCTGCAGACCACACCTAAGGTTTGATTTTGATGAAATTTGGTACGGTAGTGGGTATTTGGTATCCCCAGACGGTGTCTTTGACATTTTATTTTCTATGGTGATTTTCCTATGAAACCCATAAAATAGCGGAAAATCATATTTTCACATAAACGGCTCAAACAACTTTGATTAAAATTGAATATGTTATTGTACTTTTAACTGTAAACAAAATGTTACAAACCACAATGCTAAAAATTACGGTTAAAAATATTATTACAACTTAGGCTATGTGATTTTCCCATAAAATAACAATAATCTGATTTAAAAAAAGCTTGACTGATTTTGATCTATAATATTAAAACGAAACAGTGTTTTTTTATTTCACGATTCTGAATCAACCACTCGACGGATTTTCATGATTTTTGTGTTGAAAGAAAGATAATTTTGAGAACTAGGGAATGTCGAAGCCATAATTTTAGTTTAGGGTCCCAGTTTTTTAGAAATTAAGTTTTAATTTTTAAAAAGTCTAGCAGCCGACGCTAAGATTCTAAACTAGTAAAAGTTAAGTATTTTTATGTTCTTGTACAACCCCCATTGCCGTAAAAATTACGGTTCAAGAGTTATTGCAACTTTTTTGATTTCACCCATAAAATACCTACAGTACCATACTTTTTCCGATTGCTTGCCTATGATGAGGGTTAATGGGAAAAAGTAGAGGTTTCAGATTACTGATACCCTGCCTATTATTTTTCATAGTTATGTTTGTAAAATTTTAAATAGGTAGTTAAAATAAATAATATCTTCCATTGCTCATTAGAAAGCTGCACTGTACGATAATCTTTCTCTTACCACAGATTAATAAAAAATCACATCATCTCCTGAAAAAACTCTGATTCTCTGTCCAAAGAACCAATACAAAATAAGTTGGCAGCTGATTGAAGAAATCTATGTGTAGTTAAATTATTGTGATTAAAAAAATATTTTCACTATATATGCCTATTTTTACCACCTATAAATAATTTTAATTAGTGTGGTGATTCTGTGGTTCAATCGGTAGAGCCACGGCCACGGACATACATAAGGTAAGGCAGGGATTTCATGGGTTCGGTTCCTGGTAAACCCCTTGCTTTTCTGGATGAGTTCCACATACTCTCCATGGCCCATGTGGCCCATGTTGATGGGCAAATGTAAAGTAAAAGAGATATATCATTGAACAGTGTAGGATTCAAAAGTAATAAATCTCTTTCAATTTCCCAAACAAAAAATGACACAAGAAAGAACTGCTAGTGCTCTGATGTGAAGAACTGCTTCAAATTTCTGATGACGATCCTGAATTTTATTCATACAGTAAGGAAGTTTCTCCCCCTGACTTTTTTATTTCTGCGCTTAAAAACACTGCTGAAAGGGCATCAGTTAGACTCGATTCAGGAAATACAAACTGCGGTCAAGATGGCCATTGCAGCTATCCTGGACCAGACCTACGCAGACACTGTATCAACACAGGAGGGCCTATTTTAAAGATCTGTAGTCCCAAGTACCGATCGAATCTGTTCGATCTGTAAATCATAGTTTCTCAACAAAGTCTCATTACTTTTTGATCCCACCTTGTATATCTCCCAAATGTATGCTATAATGCAATAATCAATGGTGATATATTGTTTGCAGCTGACTATCATATAACTATGGAGAGAGGAAGAATAACAGAGGAAGATCAGCTGTCTCCAGTAGCCCTGGTAACCAGGGATGCCAGCCTGCTACAACTACCATCACTCCAGTGGTATCAATACGACAGGTTGCCTGACTCTGTCTATGCTAAAAACACTGGCTTTACTGGTAAACAAATAAGTTGAAGGTGCCCAAAAATATATGAGTACCGTAGTGTAGTTTTTATCCAGTTTACAAGTCCAGAAACAATAATTCTAAACTATTTCCTTTCTATAAAGAGTGTAAATTATTGCTTTTTGATACCTGGCACTGTCAAAATTTAACAGAACTTTCTAAAAACTCTGTAAAATACATTCCATTTATTGAGAAGGAAAGTAAGTCAGCCAACTACAGTAGTTACATTTTACCCAACATTAAATTTTATTGTGTAAGGCTCATAGTATTTCATTCATCTTTGGTTGTGTAAAGTTTTCAAATGCGCATCCATTTATTAGGTGATGGAGAAGATCACCTACTCACTGTACTTCACGTACTCGAAGATATAAGATGTACTGTATAGTACTAACATTAAACAATCAATTAATTGAGACAATGTAATTTTTCAGTATTAATCCAGGCCTCATTCAAGGACAAGATACCACAGTTGAGTTCTGGGCCTCTCTTGGGTCAATATAATTTTTCGCATGTTCACTTTCATTGGGGCCAACACAACAAGACCGGCAGTGGCCACTCTGTCGATGGCATAAGGTAACTTACACCTTAGAGTAAATAATAGGTGGTTCCCAGAAAATCTAGAGCGCAAACCAACTGTAAGTCAATTTCATATAATCATACTAGTAAGTGAAAGTTTGTGTGTTTGTTTGTTTGAAGTTCAATCACGCATTAACTACTGGTCGGATTGTGTTGAAATTTGGTATGATGTCAGCTCACATTCCCGATTAACATATAGACATATTCTTACCTCAAAAATCCTTTTGGGCTCTGCCCCAGTGGCTCTAGAGTTTCCCATGTTAACCTTATGAGTATTCATATTTAAAAGGAATTAAATAATTTTGCCAGCTGTTTCAACTACTCAATTTGTTTCTATGATATTCAATAATATTAAAAGGTTATACGGTTTACCAACAGGTTGCAGCACCATTAGTTCTTTATACATTTATGACAACAGCTAATTTGAACCAAGCAGCAACAAAAACCTGAGTGTGAGAACTTTACTTCTTTCCATTATTTAGGTGAAGTGGTAGAACATTATGGCTATAGTACCATAGATTATAATAAACCAAATTTTCTCAAAACGTGTCCTCTCTCATTGCAAATGCAAAGCACGAGTATTTAACTACAATAAGCATTGTATACCAACCCCATACGAAGGACGGGTACTCAGCTAGTCTTCATATACTTAGAAGGGGAATCAATTCTTCGTGTCATCATCAAAGGGCAAAATACTGTGACAAACATCTAGTATGTTAAGAAAAATACTTTTGTAAAAATCCAAATCAGGCAAATGGAAATTTAATTTGAAGAATTAGCAAAATATTGTTTATATTGCAGGTCATCCTGTTTGTGTATAACCTGAAACCACCATTTAACAACATCTCAATATCCTCTTTTCTGTAACAACAATACAATAACATGAGTAGAAATAACTTATTATACCACAAATAAGTGAAATCTCCTTCAATCGTAGGAGACTTACTATAAGTATGTTAGCATACAATCATTATTCAATTTATGTTTTATTTTAGATTTCCATTGGAAATGCATGTAGTACACGTTAAAAAGAACTGTACCAACTTGGGTGAAACAAGCGGGGTAAAGGATGGAATTGCCATTGCAGTTCATCTTTTTTCAGTAAGAATATTTTTTATTCAGGTTATAGACCTATATCGATATATTGTTGTAGGTTGATGCAAGTATGTTTCATCTATTAATTTCATTGTTGCCACACTACTGTGGAGTAGACATGTTAAAGTAATCATTTTCAGGATGGAAAGTACGTAGGTCAATTAAGCCACCGACAGAGTATGCTGTTGTAAAATACCAATTTCCTCGTTACATCAACTCTTTAATCATACCAAACTTAATCAAAATATTTTAAATTACAGCATATTTTATGAGGGGATCAACGAACTAGCATAGTATGAAAACTAAAAGAGGAAATCGGACTTTAGTAGTACCACACTCTTTGGTAGGCTCAGTCCATTTTCTCACAAAATAAGATTTTTCATTTACACTTACACTCTGTAATGTTAGGTAAAAAAATAGTTAAATGATCAGAATCAGAAGTCAGCTTCCACACAAGCTTTCCACAGTTGTTACGGGAGGTCCTCTCTCACTATGCCAAGGAAAGGTGAACTACAATGAGCACACAAGTCAAACCCTCAATCTGGGGTTACTGTTTCCTGGCCAGGGAAACGATGACGCTTGGCTAAATGGTCCTACACTACAATACCAGTAAACTTAACACCCTAACGTAGTAGCTCCAAACTTGTATCTGATACAGAGAAATGTAATGCCTAATGTAAGTTTTTCACCTCAAGCAAATATTTCATTGAGATTCTCTATATATAAAGTTGATTTATTCAATTTCAAAACTACATCCAATCTATAATTTCATTTTCTTTACAATTTTTTTTACAATACAATATCTTCTCCAGTCCAGATGGTTAACCATAATCAAAAACAAAATAACGATACATGTAAGCAACTACTATTATAGTTTTCATACCCGAACTTGAACTGTTTATTGCAGTTCTTTTGATAATTTCATATGCCCAGTAGCAACTCCATCTTTAGTGATACCTCGCCTATTAGTAATCTTAAGCAAACTGTTACCGTACTCACATTAACATACTGTTGTTTACAGTTGAGTGAAGAACGCAACACTAGCCTGGATCAGCTGACAGCTGTGTTACAGTTTATCAAGAAGTCCGGTTGTTGCGCAACACTCTTTCCCTCATCTCTTGCTGAGATAGTTCGTCCGTTCAGTCAGGACTATTTTTCTTACCGAGGAGCAGTTCCAGGATCGTTTTCTCAGCAGTACCGCATCGTGTGGCTTGTCAGTAGACAAACATTGCCTGTATCATCTCAACAGGTAAAGTTTGTTGATAAAATGTATGATTACTTGTGAAGTGTTTACAATTAGCAAGACAATCATACAATTTTGGATATTTCACCTTTTTAGAGCAAGAGAGGGGGTTATAACTCGACAAACTTTTCTTTTGGGTCAATATTGTTAGTGGTACAAAAGTAGTAAATGAAATAATGATAGGTTTGGTCACTTTTATTTTGTATCATACATCTTTTATATCTTTACATACATATTTTCGTATCTCAGTCTCTTTTATACATAGTATGTGTTCTGTGCTAAAGATTGTCTGTTGAAGTATAATTTATATGATATGAAATAATATCACATCATTATTCAAATCAACAATATCTCAAGCAAGAGAAGGCAAACAAGAAGTTTAGCTAACCTATGAGACAAAGGACTGACGATAACGTTTCGACGTAGAAACCTAGGTCTCCACTATATAAATAAATTGGATCGTAAGGTAAGCCTTAATTTTAATTATGTTCAATAACGATCCAGAGGCTATATCTCCAAACGTTTTATTAACTAGTCCTAGTGTAGATCTAGTTCTAATCTAGTGTAGACCTAGATCTAGTGTAATAGATCAAATCCCAGAATTCTTTGCCGATTCTCTTTTGCAGCAATCTTGTTTTGCAATAATGAGAAAACCCCAAAAATGCATTATCCATGAACAAAAAATGGACTGAATAAACAGTAAATGAAAATGAGGAACTCATAGAACTGTAATAACAGTTAGTACAACTGTTGATTATTTTTGCATTTCCATTATTCTTCATCCTCACAATTCCTTAGCAAAATTGCTACCTTCAAAGATTTTTGGTTGAAAGAGAAACATAAGCAGCTCTACAAATAATGGAAACATTCTCTTAAACATTTGTCTCAATATAAGAAATATTTAAAACATCATTTATGTATTTCAAATCTAAAATGTTTAAAATATCAAATGTTTTGTTATATTTTTAAAGAATATGGAAAACTGTTGGTTTATACTCGTAATTACTTTGTTACAGCTAGAACAATTTCGAAACCTCCAAGATGCAGAAGGAAATTTCATTAGGTCCAACTCTAGCAAACCTCATCCATTAGCTGATAGAAAACTATATTTGATTTCACCCTCTGAAAAAGTGGAACAGATAATTTCCTCTAGACCAGCTGAGGGCGTCATAATATCCCTGTCAGAAGAGTTGATTGAAATACAAGACGCAGAGTTCAAGTCGCTTGTAGCGTTGAGGGATGGTGAAGTTCGGAGTTGTGCAATTTGTCCTCATCCGAATCATGTTAGACATCAGGCAAAGAAACATGTGAGTTATCCTGATAGGATTGTTGAAGGTGATACTTCTGTTGAGGAATCTTGTGTTGATTTAGGAGCATTGAACGAATCTGGGTTTGAACATAACTACAATGATGAACAATCTAAATTTGTTTTTGGGACAAAAGGTGACTCTTACAATCTTGATTTTAGACCTCAGGATCCTGTAATCTCAGCTGAGAAAATAGCTTATTTAGGTAACAATCTAGTTGTGAGAAAAAGTGATCCATCCACGGAGCAAGCTTGTGTGTTGCTGACTAAATCAGCTGATAGTACTCCACCACAAACTACATGTGGTTACTTGGGGGCAACCAAAGAGTGTACAGATGTTTCTCGCCCAAATAAAACTAATAAAAGTTCTGGAATGATAGTTTGTAATAAGAATTTAGAATCTTTAGGAGTTGATTGTGAAGATTATGTAAAGTCTGAGGTGTTTAACAACACAGCATTTGCTAAAAAAGAACCCCCTGTTGTATTAAGCAGTTTCAGGGATGCTAAAGACAAAAGCTTAAAAAATATATTGCATCCTCAAGAATCAAACACAGAATCAACACTATTTAAGAAAAGTCTACGAAAAGAAGGAAAAATTACAGGGTCTGATTCAGATGACAATAAATGTGATAAAAGTGAGCTCTTTAACAATGCACAGCAGTCCAAATATTTTCTTGTTAAGCAAGAGACAGAACTAAGGAAACCATATTATAAGGTAATTGGTGAATTTTATATGACACCAGGATCAAAAAGGATGTTTATGAAGCAAGCTTGGCAACCTTCTGAAGAGCATATGACTGAGACAAGTGGTGAATACAAACCAGAGGATCCAAACAGTAAACCTAATGAAAAAGATGCAGTTGATAACAAATTCATGCTTTCTTTCCCAACCCCCTCAGAACATGTAGCCCTAATTGGAAATAATACAGATGAAGATCAGAGTATAAATATCAATAAAAATAACAGCTGCAATAGACTAAAATTAAATTCAAAAGACAAGGTAGTTTTGGACAAGAGCCTTTTGTCCAACCAAGACGACGTGAAAGAGGAAACTCCTAAAAAGTATTATGTTACAAGAATAACTCCAATTAAATCAGGAAATTGTGAAGAATTGGAACAGAAAAATTTATTTTATGCAAGACTATTATCAAACCGTGAGTTCAATGAGCCACAAAATAATGCTAACAAACCCAAAGACAATCTTCCCAAAACACTTTGTCCTAAAGATTACATGGAAAACCTGGATTCACAATTGGCTAGATATATTTGGATTAATAATGCTACCCACTTTAATTCAAAGTCTTCCTCTAAATCAACATTAATGGTACCTAAAAGTCAAGAATCCATACCTTATCATGTTAGATGTGATGTGGGACCAGATGCATCCGGCAATTCATCCAGCAAAAACCACAAAGAAAGCAATAATAACACTACTAGCATACATGGTGATTTAAATACCAGTCAGCTAAACAGCTCAAAGAGAAATAACAAAATAAAGCTTGCTATATCCTTCAGGAGTCATAAAGGAAGGCCTGATCTTAATGCACAGGAACAAATTATTAAGTTAGATCAAAACAAGTGTAAAACAAATCATAATACTGCTAACAGCGATTTTGGAATCAGTAATGGAGATAATTTTCCAGAAGAGGTGGAGGAAAACACAGTTTATAAGTCAGGACAAACAAAAAAAATCACAATTAAAGTTAATACTCCAACTTATAGATTACAACATCAGCCTCCGAACATTAACAACCAAGCAAGTTCTCATCATCTTGTAACCATAAAGAAAGTTGAGAATCCAGATCCATTCTTCTTGAGAAGAACGCCTAAACAACCAATGGTTGAGTATGAAGTTCTTCCAACGGGATTTCATCATCAAGTCAAAGATGAAATATTGACAGAGGAAAAAACAATCATAACATATACAGTGACAAAGAAAAGTAATAAATATATAACCCTTGATATTGATCAACCAAAAGAGTCTTTACGTGATAAAGTAAATCAAGTCAGTGAAGTAAAAAAGAACAATATTAGTGTGCATCAACCAAAACAAAGCTTTGCCAAAGAAGATGAAAAGTGCAATAATCCTATTGCCACAAATGAGTTCAAAGAGGCAAATCAATTAAGGATTGTGTTATTATCAAATCAACTAGAACATGGTAAAAACCAGTCAAATGACTTGAATCAGAGTGTTGGAAAAACAATTACTGAAGGTGATGGTGAGGATACACATGGCCTAAGGAGAGAAAAAGAAGTAGTGGACAAAAACAAAGATGGACGAGTCACAACAAAATATGTTGATACCACTACATCAAATCCGTCATCATTGTCCACATTTACTCCTCATCAATTGCAAAACCAACGACCAAAAGTTCTTAGTGACATTGATACTCAGGAAGAGCCAACAAAAGATCCTGGAGTAGACAGTTTTATAAAAGAAATTATTGTAAATGATATGAGTAAAGAAGGGGATATTAAGAAAGTGCATGTTACAGATAGAAGCCCTGGTTGTAGCATGGAGCAAATTGTATCTTCAAAACTAATGAAGAAAAAATCAAACCTGACTAATCCAGATGAGGCTATGGGTTATGCATACCAGCCCCAGACTGACACTAGATTAGTTGACGAAGATACTTTTTTGAGTACAATGGTAGACAGTAAAGTAGAAAATAAAAACGAAGAAGTTAAAAAGTCGGAAGGGTTTATCATGACTGCAAAAGAATCTAATAAGCTGAGGTTGGATAAAAGTGAAAACATGAACACACCCACGAGCAATAGTGGTAAGCTTTGATCAATCAATATACTGTTAAACGTTAAATAATTTATCAAGTCTTGTGATTTTCATTTAATTTTTTACCATAATGGTGCCCGTACAAAGAGTGATAATTTAACTGCGAAAATTTATCGTATCTAATTATACTGTCGCCACAATCACTATTTTTCCAATTGAAAATTCAAATTAAATTCATAGATAGCTGAAAATGGCTAAAGAGTCATAACTTACGACTAAAATTGTGAATGGGAATATTATTTGATGCAGTGACAGACTATAAAGTGATAAAGGAAAATGTAATTCTAAATATCAGTATTAAACGTTTATTATTCATATACCAGTATATTTTCCTATAAGCCTATATAAACTAAAAAGTAATTACACTCTAAAAATGTAGGCTAAATTAACTGAAGGGTTCAATAAATTATTTAGAAGACTGACTTGTTTCCAATAGGTGATTATAGTATCTGACGATTGTTGAGAGATTTCTTTATCAAAAGTTTATGTTTCTTTCTAGATAGTTTTATTAGTACCTACTTTTGAAAAAAAGTGTTGATAATTATTAGATTAAAATTTAGCATAGTTATAATAACACTTTTCGAGTTTATAATCTAAACTACATCTTTGACCTACTATGAAGCTAATATTTTTGTTCTGTTACCCCCAAAGATAAAAATATCCACAAAGTGTAAATTTGTTGATGATGATGAATTTGGAAAATTTCAGAGGAATTGATATCTCATGACTATGGTGATGAAGAAGCAGCAGGCTCTTTTTGTGATGTAACCTTCAAAAGTAGGACCAAATTGAAACTGCCAAATTCTCAAAAGGTTGAATTGAAGTCTCTTGCTGAAGTCAGATTCAAACCCTATAGTAAATCAGTGATTAGCAATCCAAACCGATCTGAAGCCAAATCTTTTACCAAAGCTGCGAACAATCAAATCACAACAAAGGATAAGTTTTGTTCCACAACTGGTTTAAGAGATGATTATGAGCCAACTGCATCAGGTAAACTAGAAAGTATGGTAAAATAAATTAAGCAATTGACTGTCATTTAAAACATTTAGAAGCTGTAATAAGTTTATGTACAGTGTATCATTTTATTTATGTTTTCCGATTAAATAAAAGCTGAATTCAAAATTAAATAGGAATAACAAAGGTGATTATTAGAATTAATTAATTCAATTAATTATTAGACTTGTATGACTCAAAAACACTGATTAGTATTTTAAAGTATTAATGAGTTAAGGCTGAGTATTGAAACGAATACTAGAACAGAAAGCGGTATGCAGTATGGATCTGGATCATAAACAAACAAATGACTATAATGACAAAATGACAAATGAATCCTATACTAATAACATTAAAATATGGTTTAGACAGTTCCATATTTTATATCTTGTAATAATGTTTACTTTCGGGCCAGTAACGTCATTTGTTTATGTTTATGATCCATAATGAGTCTGTTCTAGTATTCGTGGTACAGGCATTGTATGAATAATTCTATATAGCCTTGTCTGTTACGTTATGACTAGGATCAGGGCCGTTCGAAAGCAGGGGCAAGCTGCCCCGGGCACCGCAGCTGAGGGTGGGCCGCACCACGGCTATTTAGGACATAGTATTAAAATATGCGAATGCGACTATTACTGGGAGGGAGGGGGCGCCACCAACCCTAGGGACGGCCCTGACTAAGATAAGCCGGTGTTTTAGCCAGAACCATAATTATGAAGAGTCCAAGGACAGTTATGAACAGGAACATTAGCTAATATTCGTGGTTAATGTGAACCACCAAAAGGCAGAGCATTTTTCCAGTAGGAGGGATTGATTCCATTTAATATTGTGCAAATATTAAATGCTTTTTTATTTTTATTTTTTTTACCCAAAAAGTTATTTATTACAGCAAAGTCAGGTACTGTATTGTTAAACATAATCAACTTTGATACAGTTCTGTATATATAATTTTGTATTTATTTCAGCAGAATCGAGTGTGAAAGAAGAGGACGAACCAGTACACACAAATATAAACTTTTCTCCAGTTGCGTTCACAAAAGATCAAACGGTGGTTACAATTCTGCCTCACATTCAATTTGTAGACCATTGGAATAGAAATGGCGATGAATATGCAATTTTGGAGAACAATGGGAAAAATGGTAAGTAAGACATTCAACTTGACTTAAAAGAATATTTTTAATTCACAGAAATATGTTAAGTAACATAAGAATCCAGCAGAAATAAAAATTTATCTATCTGATATTCTTGTGAATTTTCCCCAAAATATATTCTTGATTGATTTTGTCAGATTTCTAGAGGCCAGGAATACTAGGGAAAATCATTTGGTTGAGAGCATGTAAGTCTTTCAAGATACTAGAGTAAAAATTAAAGAGAAGATTTGCTGACTTAGATGTCTTAGGGTTTATTCAATAATCCTGTCTTGGTTAACCTGGCTATGTAAGCAAAATACCCCCGCCGCAGCAAACCTGTTGACTAAGCGAATTTCCATTTGTCTGAATTGATTTTCAGTTAAATATATTTTAATAACATTAGGTTTAACGAGTACCTAGGTTTGCTGCTACAAGGAAACTAATAAAGTGTGTTTTTGAGTAAAATATTGATAGCTTAGTACAAAATAAATAAATTTGCCAAGTTTGATCAAAATATATTCATAAACAAGCAAACTACAACATTTGACAATTTTCTCCATAAGAATAACATGGGAATTTTAAATTTACAATTTTTTTAATTTTCTCCGTTACTAATATTCGAACAAAAATACTTTTATATACTAAATTATTTGTTTTTTAAGCTCTTTAAAAAGGTCTAAAGAGAAATTGGGAAATTTTGTGTTTTGAGGGTCAAAAGTGAGAAAACCCAATTTTTACCCCATAAAACCCCCCGTAAAGCCCCGTTCCCATGGTCCGATCGTGCTGGTTCGCGAACTCATTCAAGTTTATCCCGCTTTACACCTTTAAACCAAATTTCATCAAAATCGGACAAAAATTACTCAAGTTATCGTTCACGGACGTATATATATATATATATGTCTATATATTATTATATACATATATAAAAATTTGAACGAATAGTGTTTTTGGCCTCTGGGGACATCAAAATGAAAAAGTAAATCGGTCCCGGGTCTAGGTCTTACCGTGCCACCTACGGTAATAGCTACTTCCCTATAGGGAAATTCGCTAATACTTCCCTATAGGGAAATTCGTTAAAACCCAGAAAATTATGCTGCTTATTCTGCAACATCAATTTTTTTACCTTGATGGCTCATAAAATGAGGAAATCATTATGAATATGTACATTTAATGATGATAAGTGAATGTTTCATTCAATTCTATGTAACTAGTGGTAGCCACCCTCCCTGAGGACACAACGCCGTGGCCTTGTTTACGAGGTGGATCACTGGTTGATGATTACATGTTTGCCGAACTTCACTTCCATTGGGGACATAAAGACTGCTGTGGTGCTGAGCACATCATTGACAAACAAAGGTGAAATTGACTGGTAGTCTTGCAATACACAAAGCAAATCAAAAGAGCTAAATAAATATGCAAAATAACTACCAAATAAATAAACACACAAAATTTAAAAATATATCACCTTTTTTACATTAAAATAGGTTGGCGGCCTCTTCCCCTTACATTTGCCTCGCCTGTCCACATAGACTATAGATCTGTGTGTGGAACGTATCCAGCAAAGCAAGGGGTGAGCTGGTACAGTACGAAGGTGAACTGATAAAATGTTTATGTTTATTTAAAATAAATACAACAATATTAACAAATAAGTTAAATTAGTGTATAGTATAATAATAAAAATAATAAATATATAAAGTATAAATAAATACAGTAGCCTACACAACAAACATAATGAAGATTCAATTCTAACTTTCAATTCAAAATATTACAGAATTTGAGAAAATAATCATTCTTAGCGAAATTTCCCTTATAGGGAATAAAGCTCATGTAGATCTGGAATCAAATCAAATCAAATCAAATCAAATCAAATCTTTTTATTGTCTTTCAGCTCTACAAAAGCAATTGACATTGTCAAATGGCATCTTATCATTAAAGCATTAAACATAGTCATAATAAATAACAGGAAGCTTGATCTTAAATAAATTATTTAAAAACTTATATCTAAAACCTCCAAGGACAAGAACTTATCTACAGAGTAAAAACATTTTAATTTTAACCATGAATCAAGGACTGTTTTGAATTTTTTTATTGGAATCGTTACTGCAGAAGGGGGCAATTTATTAAAAAATTGTATACTAAGATATTTGTAGCTATTGTGTGTAAGTGTAAGTCTTGTAATTGGTAAGTTGAGATGATGGCTATTTCTTGTGTAATGTTTATGTATGTCAGATCGGATGCTATACTGGTCTATATTCTCTTTTACGTATAATAAGCAATTTAAAATGTATAAAGATGGAAGGGTTAGGATATTTAGGGCCTTAAAATCTGCTTTGCAATCTTCCCTGGGCATTGTTCCTCTAATGCACCTGACTGCTTTCCTTTGCCATTTGAAAACGGTTTTGGCTCCTACAGAGTTACCCCATAAGAGAACACCATATTGTAGGTGAGAATGGAAAAATGCGTAGTAACAATTTAGAATAATTTGTTCACTTACATTGTTCTTTAATTTGTTAAATAAAAATACAGTTCTAGCCAATTTACTACATAAAAAGTTTGTATGCTCAATCCAATTCAGCTTCTGATCAATATGGATTCCTAGCAATTTTACTGATTTATTGTCATTAGAATTTATTCTAAGGTTAAAATGAATTTCTTCTGTTTTTGAGTTGTTAATCCTTAATTCATTTCCCCGAAACCACTCTTCAGCCAACTTTAACACCCCATCCCGTTCTTCAAGTGCTTTGTTCAGATTTTGACCACTTGTGAGGAATGTAGTATCATCAGCATAAAGAGTGGCTTTACAGGGAACAAAATAAGGCAAATCATTAATAAAAACAATAAAAAGTAGAGGCCCAAGGACTGATCCTTGAGGTATGCCAATTTTGATTTTTAACATATTAGATCTTGAATTATTTACCTGCACCAGCTGGAAACGGTTCACTAAATATGAGCTTAACAGATTTAATGATTTTTCAACTACTCCGTAAAAAGCCAATTTTTTAATTAGAATTTCATGAGAGACTGAGTCAAAAGCTTTAGCCAAATCAATTAATGTTGCAGACATATTAATTTTACCATCACAACCGTTAAAAATATCTGTGATTATATTTTCCAAGGCCTTGATTGTGGACAAATTTGATCTAAAACCAAACTGACTATCACAGAACAAGTTATTTTTTTCAAAATATGAATAAATTTGTTGGTGTAGACAGTGTTCTAATATTTTAGAAAGAATTGGGATTAGAGATATCGGTCTGTCTGAATGGTAGTCATCAAGACATAGACTCAGGATCGCTTTACTTTTTCATTTTAACGAAGGTTTATGTTTGTACCAAATTTCCTCAATATCGGATGATTTTTCGAGTGCTAAGGGACACACAAATTTAAATGATTTTGAACTGATGGGGTTTTTGGCCTAAAACTTTAATTAAAAGTTATGGGTCATACAAATGCTGTACTTCCACTTTCCTCTGTAAGCAGTTTTATAGAGATCTGATATTTTCTTGGCTTATTTTATGTTTTGAGGAATACTTTTGGCCACAACTACTAAAAATTTCAGTCTTGTTTGCTTGTGATTGGAAATTCCAAAATGCTTGATTTTACACACATATTTCATCAAACTTAACATTGTTATATGATATTATCAACATGCAAGTTGTTGTTGTAAGAGTTTGCATGGCTATGGTTCATTAAAAACTACCTTACAACATAAGTACCGATAAGTTAACATTTTAAATTTAATTTTTTCCATCATCTAGTAACATGTTTATATTAAAGTCTCCTTGTACGAGAAAACAGTGTTTGATACTTTGTCTGCCCCAAGATGTAGCAGTAACTTTTCAAAACATAAGAAGAACTTCAATTATCATCATCCGGTACTGTAAATAACTACAAAAATATTTTTTCTTTCAATTCATTACTAACAATTTACCGGCAGTGCACTCAAATGAGTCTTCAATGGACTTCTATAATGAGCTTCTATAATCTTTCTTTTTCTTTGAAATCACAATGTCGCCTCTTGATTGACACCGCCTCTAAATTTCTATGATAAATTCTTACCAATTTGTGTGAGTTTAGGGTTCAGCTAGGTAGTCAAGAAATTATCATTAGCATCGAGCCATTGCTCTGAAAACAAATGATCTGCGGTTTTAACTTAAAATAATCTGATACAGTTTTTAATACAACAAATTTTTTTTGTCTTCAGCCTTGAATATTTAAATATCGTAGTAAACATATGTATTTTGTGTGAATGTTTTCATTACTTGTCTCAGGTACAATATTCAAGGAGGTGTCACAAATTTCATTTGCTAACTTTGAGCTATCATTACTACTTACATAATAAAGTTTATCTACAGCGTGAAGAATTCACAGGTTTTCTTGCAAAGTTTTATTTTTTACATCTGAGTGGCTGATAAGCTGTTGCATATTCACAGAAATGGGACCAGCATAAATGTACACTCACTTTCCTAGCGAAAAAACTCAGTTATACTCGGGGCTACTGAAGTGCTACTCATCCAAGACGATGTGATAGCAATTTGTTTTCTAGTCAGCCAACAGTACTTCTTGTTTCTTCCGTATTTTATGTACTTCCTGTTCATTCTGCCTTTAATTAAATATTTTTACATCGCAGGGGCTCTTCTTTCCCAATCTGGGTTTCACATTTTCTGGTGCTGCTTATTTAATGTTTAGCCCCGTATTTTCCTTTCCATTCAGCACCTTCTTTACCTTCTCAAGCCCCTACCAGAAGCCGCCTCTGGCAAATGTTGTAGAATGGGTAGGAAGACTTTGGAAAGCTATTGGCTGATACCAGAGGCAGGGGTATCGGAACACACCTAGGAGGCCAAGATGGAAGTGGTGGAATCGCACTTAGGTCTGAATATTTATTTTTTTTTAATTTTAATCAATCAGTTTGAGAGGCCAAGACGTGAGGTAAGGGAAGGTAATTTTGGTGTTGCATGTCTAAAGCTCTAAATTACATGCTCCTATTGTTTAATTTCAGACACACTATGGAAGCTCATTTTTTGTATATTAAAAAAGAATACAATTCTTTGACAGAGGCTCTGGCTCAAGAAGATGGATTGGTGATTGTGGCTGTCCAGTTAAAGGTAAGTAAAAGTGAATTTGTAGTGTTGAAAGGTAAATTTATTTATTCTTATCAATAGCATTGTATTGGATCAATGACCACTCTGTGGATTTGAATCAAGAGATTTATTGTTGTTCAGTAAAATAATCATAACCTAAAGCAAAATCATGAAAATGTATTTATTAACTATTACCATTGACTATTGGATATTACCTTTGTAGTCAATGATATTACTTAATTGTTTGGTTTAGGTAGGTGGTCCACCTCACACTATGTTGGATCACCTGATTAAGGGCCTTTTATCAATCAAGGAGGCAGGACAAAAAGAAAAGGTTCCTGTGGAGTCTTTATTTTCCTGGATAAACAAAACCGTAGAAGAGGCCAAAGGATACTTTTCATACAAGAGTACGATGACTTCAGAACCACCCTATGTAGAAGCTGTTACTTGGATCATATTTGAGCAAGCAATAATTTTCTGCTGTCAACAGGTAGTAAAACTTTTAATAAGATATACAAGGGTGTTCCATAAGTAAACAGCCAAACTAAGAAATTGTTCAATTTGTCAGTAAAAGAGAAAATCAAGAATGGAATTTTTTCAAAATCGCTTTATTGCAGTGGCGTATCCAGGGAGGGGGGTTTAAGGGGTTTACAACCATCCTAGACCTTAAAACACGTGATACCATAGATAAAACATACTCCCTTAGTATATTTCCCATCCTTATGGAACAGCTTAAAACCTCGTATAACCAAATAAAATGAACTAATCATAAACAATAACTTGTCCACTAGCTATATAACCAAACAGTGAGGCACAAATCATGAGAAACTAACCCTAAAATAATAAAAATAAATTGTAAACAAAACACGACATCTACAGTACACCAGACGGAACCAACAATAAAATTGGCTTCAGCTGTTCCATAAGTATGGGAAACCTACTAAGGAGTATGCTTTATCTATGGTGATACTTTACAATGAAAAATTTTTTCTACACTTAAAAATTCTCTTTTATATCTATGTCTCTAAATAACAAAATGCGAGTTTACAGGTATAATTTTCAAAAGTTTCTCAGGGGAGGGCATCCGATTCAATACCCCCAGACCCCCCGTGTAACCCCCCCCCCCCCCCACCTTAGGGTCATCCTATTTGGCTATGCTTTGTTAACCAAATTTCCGCCATTGTTACCGGTGGGGTGTGATCCATAGTATGAACTATAGAAACCATGTAGGTTAAGTACTATCATTGACTATAGTCAATGGTACTATCATTGGCTGATTATTTTCCTACATAATCAATGATACTATTCAAAGTCAATGTTCACACCACCACATTGATAGTTGAATTATCGGGGATATCTGACCTTGAGGAATATATCGCAATAATTGGTAATCAACCTTCTTAGTTATACCATAAACTAACCAACACAAGTAGACTTCTCATCCCATTGTAAATTTTGAAGCGCGTTTTTCATGTCTAGTTCATGTACGCCACACTGGGCGCTAGTGTCAACAAAATTTTGTTTCTATTATTTTAGAGTTAATTTCTTGATTTGTGCTTTACTGTTTGGTTAAATAACTAGGGGACAATATATTGTTTATGATTAGATCGTATTATTTGGTTAAACGAGGTTTTAAATGACTGTATTAACGGGAAACAAATTGTAAACAAAACACGACCTCTACATAAACCGTACAGAACTAACAATAAAATTGTCTTCAGCTGTTCCATTAGGATGAGAAATCTACTAAGGGAGTATGTTTTATCTATGGTTATACCTTAGACTTAGACAACTGATAGAACTAGACATTCCATTCTTATGTTTATTATGTCCAGTTTTATAACGAAAAACAAAATTGAGTCATCGACATAGTACGTAGTTAATTATGTTTACTCTGATTTCAGTGATTTCTGATTTATGTCAAAGTTGCTAATGTTTAATACATTTCAAACTGATAGGACTACTTAACTTATATACACTATAGCATATTTTATGTCACACCAATTATCAGTTACAAAAACTAAGGCAGAAAATATATAACTGTAGACAAAGCCCATTCATTCACTCATTAAAATAAGTCAATGTTCTCATGTGAACAAATAACATTGATGGAATATGTCTACTTAAATATCCAAATACATAGTCTTAAAGCCACCTGTATAAAAATAGTAATTCTTTTACTTTTAGTCGCTCCAGTTTAGAAACCTCATGTCACAGAATGGAGAAAAACTGTTGAAGACATGCAGACCAACTAAGCCTCTGAACAACCGAAATATAAACTATGTGCCTTTGTAGTTTCTATTATTTTATTAAAGACTGATTAAATAGTTGTGTAATTTATTGATGTATCTTTTAATTGCTTCGTTAATTATATAAGTACTTAGGTTGTTCGCAATGGGGTATGATTATTTAAGAGAATGTGCGGGTCTCTAAATCTACTGTAAAAAGAACAAAACAGTTTCACACTCTTACCATGCAAGTTATACAGACAAATCTTAATCAAACTTATTGCTTACTAGCAGAGTACCCGTTCTTCGTACAGGGTTGGCGTACAAGTCTAAAATGCTTATTGCTGTTATACTTGACTTTGTGTTTGCAATGCGAGAGGACACGGTTTAAGACAATTTGGTTCTTTTAATTTACGGTATGCTATAGTATAGCACATCTGCCATAGCCATAATGTTCTACCACTGCACCTAAACAATAGGAAAAAGTAAAGTTCTCATTGTATAAACAGCTTTTTTTATAAATTCTACGTAAAAAACACGATTCCTTATCCTCCATAAAAACCTAATAAGTGTTCTTTCCCTTACTAGTGCACACATTTATCATTGAACCTACACAGTTTTGCCAAATAATCCAGCCAACTTCCTGAAAAATACTTACCTTAATAGTGCTGATTATGCATGTTTGACCTTTTAAATATATATATAATTTAAATATTTACACACCTCATGGAATGCTCCAGATATCCTTTTCTCAGTTTCTTGACTTCAGACTTGTCACACCACTGTCATGACGATCATCTTCTAATATCGTCCTCTTCTAACATCTCTTCTACCAGTGTCTTGACTCTTCAAATGTAGATCCGGGTGACCTAGAACCACCCTCCCCCTGCTATTCCCACTATTCCCAGAGAAATAAACAGGATTATTTCTCCAAACAGAATCAAGTCATTAGAACATCCATCCCCACGATGCCCCCCTCTAGCCTACTTCCCCATAACCCCAGACCCTGACTAGCCTACCAATATACTTCCCACTCCCTAACTCAAAAATGAACCCTCCCTCCTTAAACCCCCCAATAACCTACTTTTTTTTAAGTTCCCTCGTCCCTGTCTAGCCTACTTTATCCCCCTCCCTGTCTGAAATGGATGATCCAAGGACCTGTTATTAAAATATTTTAATAACAATTTTCTTTTCCCTATGTCTTAAACCCATAAAATCTTTTTCATGATGAAATCATATTTCTTTAAAATCTTTTGCCTTTGTATATACACAGGTCATTAGAACTTCCGTCTTTCGATGCCCCCCTCTAGCCTACTTCACCCCATAACCCCAAGCCCTGACTAGCCTACCATGATACATCCCACGTCCCTAAGTAAAATGTTCAAACCCTCCCCCCTTTACAACCCCCCTCTAACCTACTTTTTTTTATTCCCTCTCCCTGGCTAGCCTAGCAAGTTCCCCTCCCTGTCGTAGTCGGAAGTACAAATGACCTGTTCAATAACTATGAAACGATAACATAAAAATCTTTCTGGTCCGTTTTTGTTTTCAACAAATTCCCTAGCTATCAAACCCACCCTCTTACTCTCACACACACAAACAACCATACATCTTCTTTTTTGATCCAAGCAAACTTCATCTTCTTTTCATGGAATCCGGAACATCTGAACATCAATATTATGGTCAGTAAGTTTCAAGATGTGTATAAAATTAACTAAAATTGCCACTAATATGAGGTTGTAATAAGACAGAGATAGAAAATTAATTCATTAAATTAGTTTTTGATTTGTGCATTTTTTTTATTTACAAATTTGCAATATTATTTTGTCAATTGCAACAGCGTTTTAACCAAAGTTTCAACTTGATCCCTTTATGTTAACAACAGGTTGAGATAATGTTTTGAGGCAAGTAGTTGAGTATTGTTGCAATGGAGAGTAAATTTTTACTATGTACTTAGATATTATTTGTTCTTTGAGTCTGGAATACTTTTGTTATAGGGAGAACACTATCATCGCAAGGGATCTGAAGTCTCCATCAGTCAATCACTCAATATAGTTATTTATAATGGTTCCTAGACAAACATTTGTATGCCTCCTGTACAGTACTCGTGTTATCTTAAAGGAATACACTAGTTAATGTCAATAATATTAAATTAAAATACAAAATGATAATAACTACTTACGTGCAACATCCATTGAGCTTAGAGACTTTGAAACTCTTGAAGTTGACAGGATTTTGGCGGAATTCTCATGCTTAGAATTTAAACTGTGTTGGTTCAAGGCTTAAATGTAGAATTACTTTTTATCATACCACCTTAATCGTGGGAAATGAAATTAGACTTTTTTATACTCCCAATACTTGTTCTATATTAATGTTTTCAGATATGTTTTTAGATTAATGTAGTGACAATTTTAATATGTACTTTAAACTGTCGGGCTACTACTATGATTTGATCAAAACTGCATGATGAAAATGAGATGACACACTGTTGACGTTAGTCACAGTATGAAGATTTTCACAGCGCTGTCTTAGGTAATATCCGTAGAAGAGACTACTTACGGCTGGCTGTCAGGCATCTTTCATTTTTAATTTCTGAATCCTTTCAAACCAGTGTTTCCCTGGAAACAAATAATACCATAATAGTTAATAGTAACAAATCTTATGATGTAGATGATTTTTCTTACTCATCTGATAATTCACCAACCCTTATAGATAGTTTAAAAGAACCCTTACTTTTTTTTTTGATTGAGATAGAATTTTAAACGATTATCTTATAATCTGTTATTTTCACCCTCATAACAGTTTAAGGGCAACAACCTTCTTTCTAGAACTAAATCATCAGCTTCATGCCACTACACCCACCATGAGGCTCAGAATGTTTGAGAAGGCGTCTCTACCGGAACAATGTTCGGCGGACATCACAAATGTCCGTCAAACACTGTTGGACGAACATGTTTGGTGGGGACGCGGCTTTAAAAAATTATGTCTTTATTTACACCTTTGATTGTCGGAAGTAGTTTCTCCGAATCAATAGTTAAAATAATAATCTTTTATAGTGATTATAATATTATAAATTGTGAACAATATTATATTAAGATTATATTATTATTATATTATATTTGGGATTTATTATAAACCCAAACGTTAAGACTCAAAATGAAATTTAGGTTTTTCGCCTACTGAAATGAATATAAGTTTTTTTTTTTGGCAATTGTCTTAACCAGTTAAATAACCAGCCAAATGTAATTAGAATATTTGCTCACCTACATTGGTTACTCGATATTCCATGTTATTTTATAAAAGATGAATATTTTCTGGTGTAGTTAATGTGCTTGTTAAAGATGTTTGTTAGTGTAATCCATGGAATAACAATAAGTATTACCCCAAAAATAAATACATAAAACAAGTGTAGTTGTTCTGATGAATGGAAAGGGCCTCTGAATTAACTGCTATGCACGGTTGCATCTATTCAACACAATCATTCTCTTCATATTCCCTTACTAATATTATCATTACATTAGAAAATGTATATCATTTACTAAAAAGATTTAAAATATTTTTATTACAACTCAGTCAGTATTGACATATTAACCTGCCGTTGGTCAATGCGAGTGCAGTCGTGCTGTACCAAATGGTATCGTACTCTTACTTCATGTGTAATCAAAGAAATAGCTTTACCGTTACAGATAGTACTATGGTAATATTTCCCCTAGCATGCAGAGTAACGCGGTTGATATCGTAGCGAGGCTCTCAACGGAAGGGAAATAAGAAACATAGGATACACTTCATGGTACCCCCTTGGCTAGCTCTAGTGCTGGTGTCTAGGGCAAAGTCCCACACCGCCTCCTCGCCCTTATGTACTAAAATGCTCACGGTTGAGGAAAACCCTGTACCCAGTGTGATATGAATTTCCACACAGTATGCTCGCCAGTCGGGCTAATTTGATTTTATCAAAACTGCATGATGAAGATGAGATGACACACTGTTGACGTTACTCACCATCTGACAATTTTCACAGCGCTGTCTTGGTTAATATCCATTGAAGAGTTTACTTACAGCTGTCAGGCATCTTTCATTTAATTTCAGAATCCTTTAAACCAGTTTCCCTGGAAACAAATATGTACCAAATTTGTTAGTAGTAAGAAGTCTTATGTTATAAATTATTTCTATCTCATTAGCTTTTGCAGGCGATACAAATCACAAACACTATACATAAATACATAAATTGCGTTTTGGTTTTATTGAGACAGAATTTTCAACAATTATCATATAATCTGTTATTTTTCACCCGTTTTTTTCCCTGCGTAAAAACGTAAACCTAGCATTGAGAGTAACACGGTTGATATTGTAGCGAGGCTCTCCACAGAAAAGTAAGAAACAGACGATACACTTAAGTGGTGGCTAGCTCTAGAGCTGGTGTCTAGAGCAATGTCCCGACTGCCTCGATTGCCCTCATTTACTGCAATGCTCACGGTGGAGGAAGACCCTATGCCCTGTGGGATTAGAATTTTCACACAGTGCTTGCCGTTTGGGCTCTTCCTTGCTTGTCACAAGTATATTTCCGCCCCAACATACCAGAGCCCAAAGTGCACAGTTGTCCCATAAGCGTGTTCCTCTGTACCTTACTTCTCTGTGGGCTCTCTGTTTAGCCTCACATTCCTGACATTACGATCTTTGACACCCTTTCTATCCACTTCCATACACAAATATTTGTGGAACGGATGTAACTTGTAACATACACTTATTCAAAATAGCCGGGGAGCGAGCTGATCTATAGAGCGTGGGACTTTAGCCCGTCCCGGGTTCAAATCCCACCAAATCACCAATGGATTTTATCTAAGAGACAAACCAACCACTAGGTCAAGCCTGAAGTAATGTTAAAAATAATCCCAGGGTCATGCCTAGCGTCCTAGAACAAACAAAAATTGCCAGAGTTTCATGACCATAGGTACAGGTATGAAAACGGTTTCTTTATAAGTTGTAAGTATACCTTATTAGATATGATCTCACAGTGCTATTAATGAGGTTTAACATTTAACTAAATGTTACCCGGTCTGCTGAAACTCATGAAGAGATACCTGTCAGTGGTAAAGCTCGGAGGAAGATGGTCGTCCA